TTGATGAACAGTAAAGGGGTGAACTTAATTTAAAAAAATCTATTTTACATTAAGAAATTTTCATTTTGAACCGCACTTTATAATTTCATTCTTCAAAGATGAGAAGGTTTTAAGTTAAAAGAGCATAGTGTAAATAAGGATGCTTCATAAAGGCTGCCATTCTTGAACGAATGAAGTATTTGATTGCCAAAGTTTAAATTAATTTGATATATCGAGCGAGTAATGGAGGATTGGGCTCAATTTCAAAGGTGAAACGTGAACTGAAAAGCGAAGAAGCACTGGACTGATTGTGTTAGGTTGTGAATGTTTCCAACCGAGTCATGACCCGGAGTATAGTGCTAAGATGATCAGGGTCCATGGCCCTCAATAAGCTCGCAAAGATGAGTTGTGCAAATGGAAAATGAAAACGGTCTGATCAGCTGCTCGGTGGCCGAGTGGGTAGCATGCTTGCGTTCTGCCTATGAGGTCCCGGGTTCGATTCGCACTGCTAATAAGACCCAACCAGGTCAAAACAGCTGTCCAGTACTGCCTAGCTTTTCAGTTCGCGTTTCATTTACTATATACACGATGAATTCGCCTTTGCAATTTAATATGGGTTGAATATTTGTGATTGCAGCTCTTGGGCAAACAGTGTGTGTGTGTGTGTGCGTGGAGCGGGCTTCCTAAATGGCAAGTTCCACTCTGTGGTATTAACGGTAGAATAGTGACAGTGAAGCGATCGCACAGCAATGAACAAAAGATGTACGGATAAGTGTTACGAACGAATCAAGCGTTAATCACACGCCACAAGTGCTAGAAGTGACGGGGTTCTCGTCCGAAATACCTTCTAATGTATTTTTGGTTTCCTTACTGTTATTTTACACTTACGTTCATAACAGTGATCCGTTTTGCTTTTCACTTCCTTTTGGTTGAAAACGTTCCCTCCACACGTTGACCATCTGAAACAGGTTTACCAATCCGCATGTGTTTACAGTGTCCCCAAATTGTGCTGCTCACTCTTCTTGTCTGTATACCCGAGAATATCAAAACCGTATAGGAAGCCATCGTCATGTCATGCGCATCATTCTTTTAATGACTCACCTTTTTGTAGTGGGCAACAACATGACTGAACTCCATATGATCTCACCGTTTTGCCAAGTTGTTGACCACGGCCGCACATTAAGTTGACCAGGTACCGTCTATGCTGATCACAGTGACTCGTTTTAAGCTAATGCTGGACATCGGTCTGCTTAACTATTTCACTATACATTTAGTACCTAATGCGAGCTATCCAATAAGCATGTCAACCCATCAAAATAACTTGATGGGGTTCTGTGGTGTTCGTGTACCGAGTACGCACTCACCACGGTATAGCTTCCGGGTAACCAATCAAGAAACGCAATAATCGACCAATCCTGTGGTTTCAATTGGCACCAAATGGATTGTTGAATGTAAGAGGGCAAACAAATAAACCAAATCGTTATCGATGGGACACTGAATTGTCGACCAATGATTGTTTGCTGTTTGTGATACATATATTTGCATGTTTTTCTAAATAGAATTAACTGTATTCATAGCTTTTCTTTCTTCTACCGGACTTTGCGCTATTTAGTGGGTATTTAGTCCCAATCCGAGTTCGTGCTATTCGCTACCTATTCCTACTCCGAATACTACAGGTTCTCTCGTTTGTGGTTTGCTGGACACGAGAGTTACTTGAAGTGACTTACAAATCCCACAGACCACGTCTACTTAAGAATGTGGAAGAGAAACAGGAAAAATGTGCACCAATGGGTTTTTCGCCTGATCATTTCACACTCTCTAGTCCCAAACCCTCTTTTCGATCCCATCGTTCCCCCATGTTTCGTCTATCCGCATTCATTGCATTCGGTCACTTATGTTCTGTTCCCAACCGCACTCAGTCGTGGAGATCGTCTTATTGATGGTATTCGTCTTGCCGCCCTGGCTTCGGTTACCCATGACGGACTGGCGGATGAAACGTACAACCTCCTTCATCGGGCGATTTTACATGCGGCGGGTCAAGCCGTATATCCGATGCTTTTAGCACTTCGTGACCTCAAACTGTTCGCCCCACGTAGTCAATATCTTTCACCGAGTAGTGTGCAGACAGATCCTAAGAATCTTCCCTTGTCGGAGAACGGAATGACATCACCCCCGACAACAGCCGTGGGTCAGAACTCTGCCACTAGTGCAACCCATTCCTCGTCAAAGTATGCTCTATCTGCTGCAGTGGCTCGGTTGGGACTGGTGTCGAAACGCAAGTCACTGTACAAGTAAGCGATCAGTCAGTTGCCTCTTTTCAACGCGAACAATTACCTTAAGTGTGACCTGCTGAAGTCCGCTTCCATAAGATTGTATTCATTCTCAGTTGTCAATAAGAATCACTTGTAATTCGTCTCTCTCTCTCTCTTGCTTGAGGCTATATGTTTACACAATGTATCGTATGGCCACATGTCCAACATTTACCGATGCTAGGCAATGTGTATGAGTACCGAGGTAATCGACCGGGATTTGTCCAGATTTTGTTTTCGGTCTTGCTCGGTTGTATTTCCATCATAATTCCTAACCGTGACATTTTTCACCTCGAATTTCATATCATGGATTGTGTAGCCGGTGAACTTCAATATTATACTAGCCTCTGCTGAGGAAGCCCTACTCACTGCCTTCTCGTGGCGAACTTGCTTTCCCACCAAAGTTAGAGAACGAAAAGCTGATATCCTGGGCTATAACCGGGTTGGTGGACCACTGGTGATTCACCTAGGGGAGTTGGCAAAAATCCCTTATTCCAAATCAACCAAGTGGAGGCGTACGAACCACACTCACACCTTTTGGGTTGTGGCAGTGATCACCGGCTCGATTGAGCGTCGGTGTGTTGGGTACCTTGGACCTTTAGCCCCGTCTAAAGGGCGTGTGATCCGATGAACTGGGAACCGGCCCCCAATGGATTGCGGTTTTCACACTGCCCCGCTTCCTTACGGGCCAGGCTTTGGTTAGCCTAAGGCTCCGGTTGTGGATTCCCCAAGAAAATTTACCTGCCTCAGCCTGGGCAACCTGGCAGTATTTAGTCCACATGCAAATCATGGAACGTTTTTCTTTTTCTTAAAGGTTATTATACCATGATTTGTTTGGCGCGCAGTCTAGATTCAGACGTGTGTGAAAATATAAAATATATGGTGTAATAATTTATAAAAAAAACAACTTCCATAAGATGGGACGCATTGTATTTTCGTGATAGGATTTGAATACTGTGTTCTTGTTGTCAGTGTAAACGGTTACTTTTTGCCGTCTTCGGTAACTACGGGTAGGACTATGCCTACCCACCATAGGATCGACAAAATTCGGCGAGTGAATAATTTTCAATTCAAACTCTTCCTGTATGGACGTAGTTGACTGTGAATCGAGGACAATGTCCTTTGATTTAGAACACACACACACAGTATGCCCTTTGTTGGTGTTTTCGGATACTTAGTTACGATAGTTACAGTTTGAACTTCTGTCTGTCACATCTCAATATTGGATGAACAGTAAAAAAGGGTTAACCTTTTCACGTAACGGTTGCTCTAATCGTGAAAACTTGCGATCTAAATCCTGGGCTGCTGAATAGTGAACCGCATAGGATCTCTGTA